CGTTTGAGGTGGAACGTAGAACCTGGTGAGTAGAACCTGCAAAAAAAACAATAGTATTCTTGCTTTTGGCTGATCTTGTTTAGTCTTGGAACCTGCTTTGTAATAGAAAACTAGTCTTTGCACTTCGAAGACATCTTCACATGTATCTGCAAATCTCTAGTTCTGTTGGTCCAAGCAGCTCCAAGACACCGCAGAAATTCGGCCAGCACGGACGGCTCACCTTGGCCCAGCCATGGAGCCAGGGTCCGGTGGGCTGCCCCAGCTGGAGGCTTCGCAAACAATTTGGCGGGACGTCCTGCCCCCCCCCCCCGGCGTATGAAATCCTTAGTGCCCCGGAGCTTTTCAGGATTGAACTCTGGCAAATCCCGTTTCACCTGTAGCAGGTAGGTACGACACCACCAAGCCAAACCTCTCAAAAAATGCCGATTTCCATCATTGCTCATAGCAACTCACAGCATTCTTTGCCCCACCCTTCCAATTCACTCTCAAACAAGTAAGTAGCCGTCTAAATCCGTAAAGGTGGACCACTTGTGTCTCCTGGTTGCCCAAACGGTCGAGACGCTCACTCTTCCTCCGTCGGTCGAAGCTCGCTCCCGAAACGCTGCCGGACTCCGACGAAGCTCCGTGCCGAGTCGCTCAGAGCCCAGGTGGCAGCACCCGGTGTCGGTCGCATCCACCTCTCAAGGCGTTTCAGGTCGAAAGGTCGTGGGGATGAAAAGAAGGCTTTGAACATCCAGGACGGACCCCTGGGTCATTTACACAGGACGGAACGCTGGGTCTCAAAATTTACAAATGGCAGATTCCCCACTCGCCCCCTTGTCATTGAGTAGTATGTGAAGAAAGTGTTCTAAGGTATTTTTTAAAGTACACATTGTTGATCATTGTTGTAATTTGTTATAACTTGAGCCTTTAACTCGAGCACATGTTTTGGAAAGCTGCAGTGCTTGAAGAACGGACATAGACTGTTGCACCCCTTGAGCTCAAAAGTCGTGTTGCATTCGGTTGTTGCCCAAACATTGCGCCGACAAAGGTCCAATGATGTAGACATGCAAGCATGTCGCACATATAGACTTGCAAAAGCAGTCACCAAGGATGAAAACTCTGCGGGAACCCAGGAAACCCAGAAATACAGTGAAAACCAAATAAAGGGCAAGCTGCTTCAAGACCTTCAAGCTCAACACATTTGCAGGCTAGAAACACCACAAAGGACCATGCTCAGCCAAGAGACCTAAAGATCAAAGTTTCGGTGTTCCAGGCAAAGCAGAGGAAAATAAGCTCAACAACGTCATTTTCTGTGAAACAAAGAGCCAAAAGCCACTTTGTATAAAACATGGATGTTCCTTTCTTGGGATGTTGCTGTATGGGTGCTAAGCACGACCCAGTCCGTCCGTGCGGCGTCCAACCGGCAGGGCCCCAAGTTCCCCTTACTGTGCACCATGTTTGGCGTGACAAGCACTATGTATTTCAAACGGTTCAGTATCACAGTATACCATAGAGCCCGTATTCCTCTTCCTGTGCTCCGCCATGTATGACTGCTCCGCCATGTCTAACCCGAAGATTGGAAAAGGTTTTTCAGGGTTGTCTCTTCATGGCCTGGTCAAACCATCATGTGTTAGAATTGGGAGAATGATGGGTGCTGGTCCTGGTCGTCTGAATCTCCATATGCTGTGGTGAGTTCATGTTGCCCACCAAAACAATGCCGCCCCCTAGTGATTTGGCACCTGATCAAATGCTTTGTGCGTTTCTGCTTCCAAGGAACAGCTGCGCCTTTGAAAAAGGGTTGCCCTTTCGAACGTCCACGTAAACGGGGAAGAAGTCCGGTCGTGGCTTTCCCGAACCTGTGCCTTTTGGAAAAAGAATCTAAGGAAAACAAAAGGCACAGGTTCGGGAAAGCACGACCGGGGGGTGCACCCTCCTAACTCTCCCCAAACTCTCTCAAAACTCTCTCAAACGCTTGGGGGGTGCACCCTCCCCAAACTCTCAAACGCTTGGGTCCGCTTTTCCCCGGTCTGATCGACAGATTCGCCTCGCCACCAGCGGTCGCACGAAGTGCAAGGCCTCCCCTGCGAACCTCGACCGGGTGAAATCCTCAGGTCCACCCCGATTGGTTCTGTCTGTCTGTCTCTGTCTGTCTGTCTGTGCAGTTATAAATCGAGATCCTGGACGTTCAAAACCCAGATGTTGGAATCAAAGAGGTTGACGAAGAACACCTCAACCGGTTCACCAAACAAACTCCACCTGTTGGATAAACAGGTGGGGCGCGTCATCCCCAAAAATGGTTTTTCAGGTTTTAACACTGACTGGGGGGGTGTCTTTTTGTGGTGCATAAATCCTTTAGATCCCTTAGGATCTTTTACAAATTAGTATATAGAAAAATGTAGAAAGATGTAGAAAGTATGTGACTATAGTATAAACATGTCATGTATAGACCTATGTCATCGATACCTGTCAAGAGATTTGATACATGGCGGCCAAGCTGTGAATCCAGAGTGGCGCCCGCCAGCTTCGCGAATGGCCCGACAGCTTCCCTTATCACATTAAGTTTAGATTGATTTTAATTCTAATTCTATATATCGAATTCGTGTTTCTAATAGCTTCTTGTTCCTAGTAGTAAGGCCAGCAGCCCCGTTCGTAGCGTCCGATCGCTCCTAGTAGCGATGCCAGGAGCCCCGTTCGTAGCGTCCTTGCTCCTAACCTACTGCCAACTCCTTTCAACTGCTATCAACCCCGACTCCATGTGGAGGGTTGATGAGGGAAATCTTCTGTGATTGAAGTGAATCCTTCCTACATCAAGGAGTCCGGTGGAATTCCGACTCTTCAGTGGCCAATAAAGGCAGGATTTCCCAGTTGTTTTGGCCTGGGAAAGGCACCCTGGCACCCTGGATGGTAGGTTAGTTTCACCTCCCGCAAGCTTCAGTGTTTCATGATTTTGTGTTTTTGGGGATTTTTTTTTTGAACCATGTTGCATGGAACTGCACCCCGGTTCCTTGCATGTCGTTGCTTCCGCTTTGAGCGTCCAAGGACCCACCCGCTCAGCTCGGTCGCCCGGTCGCCTGTTCACCGCGTTCGCCCGCGTGCGGCGGGCAGCGGCGAAGCGCCGGCTCTGGCCCACCGCGTCGCGCGCGTCGCGTCCTGCAGTCGGGGTAGGCCCCGAACGGAGTGGCGGAACGGCGGGGACACGCCCAGAAGCTCAGATCAGGATCGGGGGGAACCAAAAAATCCGCCTGGAACTGCTGGCGATGCGAGGAGAGTTATGAGTTGTTTGAATATTTGATCATTTTGGGGGTTGTCAATCCAAGCATCGATGAGGACAAGTTCGCGGAACGTGAGAAGATGGTTCAGAACCGCCCCGTCAGTCGATCGGTCTATCCTCAATCATCTCGATCAATACTATATTATTCTTATATAGTATCTGTATATGGTATATAGTATCAATATAGAATCAATCACCTTGTGATCCCTCAGCCCGGAAGAAGGGGCCCATTCTCCAGCCCCATGTACCCAGGCGACCCGACCCGATTCATGGGGCGCCGACCCTTTCTCCGCCTGGAGAAGCGGTCGGACCGAGTCGTGGAGACCGACCGAGTCGTGGAGAGAGGTCGCCGCCGGTTCTTCGTTCTGTGTGCCCTCGTTGACTCGAAGTCATTGGGAGACAGCCAGTCATGGCTTGTCGACAAAACACCAAAAGCGGGTGAAGGTTACACGCGAAAACAGCTAAAATCTTTCGCCCCAGGGCGGCCCGGTCAAGCATCTCTGAGGCTGTGCATCCCGACCTCCACCCGATGCCTTGACAATTGCTGACCCTAGGAATTCAACAGCTATTCACCCAATAAGGATGTTGCACCAAATATCAGGTCAACCATGTTTACGATAATTCATGGTCTTGGAAGGCTAGGGTTGTTCCATCACACTCAGGAACAGTCTGAAAGCCGCTCGGAGTGCCCCAAAGCCCCGTTCACCCGTAGCCGAACACCGCGACCGCTCCAATCGTGCCGCTTTTTGCACTAGAAGAACCTGAAGAAGCCTGTCAAGCGCGGAAGCCCCGCGAAAGGTAGGACCTTCTCGAAACTTTGTACAAGTAATGAAAGAGTGCCACCAAGCTCCACACTCCTCCAAAGGCTGCAGCATCATAGAGACGATCCTGATAGTAGGGTGCCTGGCTGATGAACCAACTTCCAGCCATCACGCTGAAGCAAAGAACGCCCACCAGTTCCACTTTCAAGTTCTCCAACATCTCCCTGATCTTGGAAGTCGCCTTTCGACAAGACCTCCACGCAACGAAGGTACACAAATCTGTAAAGATCGGTGCACAAAGGAACCAAAGCACCACACCCTCCACCAACTGAGCGACAGCGGCGTACGTATTGTTGGCCCTCGCATGAGAGACCGTCAAATCGAGGAAAGCCCAGAGAAGGGGGATTGACACAGAGAGGCTCCACTGTCTGGTGAAGATCTGGTCATGGAGTCGTCCAAGCAGCTTCTCTAAGACTTCAGACCGTGCGTAGTCCTCAAAGGCCTCTTCACTGCCAAACCAAATCGAAATACATTCCTTGACGATTTCTCTGTCGCACATGATGCGGACTCCCTCATATACATGGTTCAAATCGCAACAAGCACATTTGGCGTGGTCGCAGCTGATTTGGAGCAGCTTGGTTTTCATGGTCTGGACCGAGCGGAAATAAGCCCGGAAGGCCGCTGCTATGAAATAACCACTGACCAACAAAAAAAGAACCGCTCCTGAGAGGGGGACTAGAACAAAATACGGACCCACACCGCCCACACCTGCAATGCTTGGCATTGGAACAGTGGTCACAGGAAGCATCACAATAAATACACCGACAAAAAGTGCAATTGAACATGGCCCAAGGAAGGTGGGTGTGATCAGCAGTTCTTGTTCACGGACCGTTTTGCTTTTCAGAAACGCGGCCAGCTCGAATAGACACCACAAGCGGTCACTCCACGTCGAGTCCCAGAGCACTAGCATCTGATCTGACTTCTTCAAGATGCCGGCCAAGCTATAAATGCTTGCTAACTTGAGGTCCGTGTCATGTTCATTGATGCAAATCCGATCAAGAAAGACCAGCTGCTTGGGTCGCCACAAGACAAATGTGATCGCCGCAGTGACGAAGCCAGCTGGCAGCGACCAGGCCGACCAATGCTCCCGATAGGTCTCACCAAAGCCACGAGGAATCCCAGGCAACACACCGCAACTGAAGAAGACCGTCATGACCAAAGCACTGAAAGAGCCAAGAAGAACTGATGACAGACCATTGTAGCGCATCATCAATGAAAAGCTCTTCATCCAGTGGCGACCATGCCACGAATGCGACCAAAAGCAGGAGATCGTCTCACTCACAACACTCTCTCCGAAGAGGTCGTCATCGAGGGGTCGCAATGCTCGTCCACAGCACCGCAAGGCTTGATGTGCACAGGTGACTCTCAGGGCTTCAGGCGTTAATATCTCCATTCGTGCCACATAGGTCGCCACCTAGAGGTTCTTCAACAACCCCCCCAAGCTTCTAAAATCTTCAAACAACTTCCAACTACTCTTGGGCTATGAGTGTGGACAATCAAACGAGCAAACGAGCCTACAATCAAACGCGTTTGGACCGGTACCTTGAACTGCAACTCTTCGACATTTTCTCGCTCCTTCTGTTCCGGCTGCGCTCCGATCGTGTCTGGATGCAGGTCCCCAAACCGCGTTCCACTCACCAATCTCTGGTTGTCCATGCTTGCATTGCTTTCCGGGATGCTTCTGGGTGAGAGGTGTTGAAAAATATTTGGCGCGATTACGACAGCAACTGCTGAGCTCCTTCGGCTCGGGTGAGCTGAAGCTTCCTGTAGACTTAAGACTTAAGAGGTTTGTCCTGCTGATGCACTGATCTAAAGGGATTGGAGCTTCAGGTTCGACCTGCCAGATTGAAAGAAGTGGCTTCAGAGGTCGACGCTTTGACTGGCAATTCAATTGGAGGAACAGGACCTAAAGTCCAACAGCCGGTTTAAGCATCTTGGATGAAAAACATGGCGCAAAAAATGCGTGAGGAGAGTCACTCGGCGGGCCCCCATACCCCTGGGCTTCGCATGTAGATCTCTAGTGCCGATAGGTTCCCAGGAGACTCCAAGCAAGAACGGTCAAGCGGACCTGAGTTGGTCTCCTGTGGCTCTGAATTTGGACCCCAAACCATCCTAAACCCAAGTTCTGGGACCTTTTCCCCTTTCACCGCACGTGCCTGGGCACCAGCAAGCTCTCGTGAGGCAGTGGCCAGCGCTTCCAGGATGCTGTTCCGCGTGGCGAGGGAGAGATCCTACGCAACATTCAATCCTTTAACTTTGCTTTGGACGTGTTTCGTTTTGGGTGGTTCGTTTCGGGTGGATTCTATATATCGGCGTCCTCTGCAAAAGTGCTGCATTTGACTGCAACATCCTGAAAGCTCATGGAGGCATATTTAAACAGTTTTAATCCGTGTTTTATCCTCGCTTCATCCAGATCCTCACTTAATCCACAATCTTTACATGTGTCAACTCTTTTCACTGGCTAATTCTACGAATCCTTCTCTTGAAAAATGCCATGGATGGAGCATGTTTCGTGCAGCAATGCTCTGCTAGATAGAGAGAGCGGGTGCTGGTAGTGATGTAAAATTAGCCTTTTCGGATGCTGAAAAACGTCGTATGTTATAATTTATAGTGTCTTATGTATGTAATAGGCTCCGACACATAGTAAAACGCACATTCTTGTTTTAAATCAATTGGAACCAAAAGGAACTTAAAAGCAAATTGATACTTAGGAACTGAAACAGTGAATCCAAAAAATGAAACATATAAAGTGCAAACCATATTTGAGGAGGTAACGGTAACAGTGTATAAACATGGAAAAGCGTAGACAGGAGGTGTCATTATTCAAGTCAAGAGGGGCCACCATTGTTGTACGGGGTTATAATACGCTACGTACTCAAGGTTTCAAGCGTGCTGGGCTACCTCCTTGTGTAATAGCTGTTTGCAATAAGGTGGTTGAAATAGATTAACTAGATACTGTAAGAGAAACTAATGAGTTGAAAGGAACCCAAAACGAATTCAACAGGAGTTACAGTAAGAGGAATTTATATAAAAGGAAACCATTTTGCAACCCTGAGGTCTTTGAAGGGAATCAACAAGAATCAAAAGGAATTTAGTTGACAATCACTTGGATTCAAAAGGAATTTACAAGGATATCTTGTAAACTCAATAAACATATTGTTCAAAAGGAATCAACAAGAATCAAAAGGAGCTTTAAAGAAACTCATTTGGAATCACAAGGAACTTGAAAGGAATTCAAAATAAATCGAAATGAAGTACAAGGAATTGAAAGGGAAACCAACTGGAATTCAACAGGAATTCAAAAGGATATCTTTAGAGTCTTTAGAGTCATTAGAGATACAAAATAGAAAAGGGAATCAACAAGAACCAAAGCAATTCCACAGGAATCTACAAGAAAAAACTCGAAATCAAAAGGATGTTAAAATGAAATCATTTGAAATGAAAAGGTGTTGAAAAGGGAATCAACAAGAAGCAAAAAGAATTCAAAAGAAAATCTATAGGAATAGGGATATAGGGAATAAGAATGCAGACTTCCAAGACTTAGGCTTGAGGTCGAATCCCAAACCTGGGGCTAGAGCTCCCCATGGAGTGCAAGCCCAGCCTTACATTCAAAAGAAAGCCAGCTTCAAAGAGTCATGAGTGGCCTTCCCAGAATATAAAACAAAAAACATTGACAACAAAATAAAGCAAAATAACAATATTCCAGAAGTTTTTGAGGGGGGGTGACAGCAAAGAGTCTCAGAATATTGGTGTTTGTGTTTTGTTGGGTGTTTTGAATGTGAGGTTTGCTTTTGGTTGTGTTTTGTGTTTTTGGTATTGCGATTGCTTTTTGAATACTTGAACTTTTGTTGTGGATTGCTTTTGCCTTTTCCAATGGGGGGTATGCACGGGTGATGCCAGATTTGCACTTTCTGAAGCATGTTGCACATGTTTGAAGTGGGCGGCAAATGCACATGCATCGGTGTGGACAATGTTTTTTGGGGAGTTATTTCTGTGACATGCCAACATCATCCACGGTGGATTCAGAATAGCTATGGGCCACCGGGGTAACATGGGTCAACTTGCTCATTTTGGAAGTAACATGCCCATGGGGAACAGCAAAGTTTGAGGTATCCCCCATACCAAATGGGCTACTGTGGATAGTGGATAGGCCCTGTTACCTGTTTGGTAATTTTCAGATACCACTACTTTATTCTGTCTCCATGTGTGTGTGTGTGATTTATGTTTCATAGGTTCGATTAGGTTAGTTTTTCCGTTGTCCATCGATACTGTTGCCTGGTGTTCAAGAGCCTCCCATGGAATTTAGGAACGGGCTCGTTGCACTTAGTTTTGTTGGCAGGTGTTATGCCTCCTGGGGAAGGACAACATCAGTGTGTTGCGTGTTCACACATGTTATTCTCACTTATTTTTTTGCATGTTCGTTGCATTTGGTAACATTCTTACGGAATCCTACGGAATATTTCCAAAATTGTGAACAATGGGGATCAAGCGGCATATAATACTTATACTTGAAAAGCTGTTGGTAGGCTTAACCCTACTTTTTCAGATCCAGGTCCAGACCACCCAAATAATGGTGCAAGGCGCCCGCCCGGAGGTCAAAATTTTGGTGCAAGGTGCCTGCCAGAGGCGGTCGCCTGGAGGGCAACATTTTGGTGCAAGGCGCCTGCCCGGAGGACAAAATATTGGTGCAACATGCAAAGGAAAATGGGCCTAAAGCTCCAGATTTTGGTGCCAAGCGCCGGCCTAAATGCTGCCATGTAGTGTAAGGCGCGCCGGTCAGTATGCCTGAATGCTCCTGGTGATGTAAAATTCCCTTGGTAATATGCATAAAACATTGTACATAGCAGTATATTCAGCATAATCACAGGCTTCAGATTCCGCTGAACCCTCTTAATTATTATCTTCTTATGCTTTCATGTCATAGAAATCCTCTTCTGCAAGATCCAGTCTTGAAGAATGAGTGGGTTGAGGTGCTCCTCCTTGCCGAACTCGTTGATGAGGTTCTGCACTGCAGGCCTTCTGCTCCCATCCGCAACCAACAAGCTCACCAAGACCTCGACTTTGCCACAACATATGCGTTTTTCGATCAGATTGGTCAGCAAATCAGTGGTACATCCGTGCCTAGTCACTGGCCTATCAGTTTGTTCTCATGTATGGAACCTGATCCATGTCTTGAAGTACCAATATATGCCCACAAATGTTAACAACATTCGTAGACATACCAGTAACCGCATTCTAGAAAGGCATGCACCCTCAGAGAAGAAGCATGGAGGCACAAAACAAAATAAGAAAACATATTTTTTGAGGGGGCCTCTTTGCTATCTTGTGGCTTTCCAGGAAAAAGGCGTGTCGCACCACCCTTTGTAGCCCTGTAGTCACGGTGTGGTCGCTATCTGCTGCAGTTTGGCCCCTACGCCATCATCTTGTGGGACTTCCCAAATGAGCGAAAAGCTGCAAAGTCCTGTTGAGGTGCCAGGTAGTAGAATTCGATAGTAGGTTGGAGGCCATCGCTCTTAGGTTGGAGGCCATCGCTCTTAAGACTTGAACGGTTCTCCGTTCACCTGTGAGGTGCACGGATTCGATTCGGGAAGTAGACCATCGCTCCCGAGGTCAACGATTCTCATCGGTTGTTTCTTTCCGAAAGGGGCCACTTCTATGGAGTGTGCATCAACAAACTGGGAATTTATGATGCAGCAACTAGGATGTCTGCCACCAATAATGTTATTTTTACACAATTTTACACACATTCTACAGCTGTTCGAGCGCAGTTTTGGGGAGGTTGGGTCGTTAAAAAGGCGAACATCAGCTACCTCGGTCTTGGTGGTCCCGAAAGCACCCCTGGCCATCGTTGATACCCTCCGAAAAGCTTTAAAAATCTAAGATTTTGGCTGTCTGAGCTATCAACTACTTCCCAAGACTCAAAATGTCCGTGACCCGTTCAATCCACCCACCGGCAGACCCAGCCTTGAGCTTTAGATCTGCAAGGTTGTCCAAATCCGAGCCCACAGCCTGTTCAAAGGCAAAACATGCAGTCCGTGGGAGGGCTGGCTGGACGAAATCTGACACTGCGCGATACAAAAATGGGCAAAGAAGGCCATGGTAGAATGATCGAGATTTGGCGCGCAGCCAAATATAGCATGCGATGGGCCATCACTGCCATGCAAAAAGCGGAGCAGGTTTTGACCCCAACGCCTCCCGTCTGGGAACCTAACCCTGCCACAAATGGCCACCATTAGAAAAACTTATTCACGGTGGCCGTGTGGAAAAATCGCTCTTCGCCTCCAAGCGAAGCAGCCGCGCACACAGAGGCGCCGCTAGCCTGGCGAGGGATTCCCCACTGATGAAACCGGAAAACGACTCGGATTGAAGGGGTCTGACATCACCCATCTGACAGTCTGATGGTGTTCACATTTCAGGCTCACAGCTATTGATTATATTTATATTTATTGATTACCCCGACAAAATTATGAATTCATGTGAATCACACCTTCAGTTGCAGGAGACCGGTTCGAGGGTTTCTCTTCATCCACACATCTTCATGTGGCTGCTGCAACTGCAACATTCGAAAACTGGAAGCTCGGAGTCCTGATCAGTGAATATTGCAAGGACTAGGACGACGAACCTTTGTTCAGCAAAAAGTCAAACTCCGAACTACACTTCTCAGATCTCAATCAAATCGGATCTCGATCTTTTGTAGAGATTTTAAGGAGGGTTAGGGGAATTCCGATTTGTTCACCATGTTACACCTTTTGAGTGGAATCCTGAGGATTTGAACCCCCACACCATCACCACCCTCGCCCTCATCCCA